ATGCATTGCCTGGCAGAATATTAAAGTGCAAGAACCAGTTTTTCTTGCTCTTTACCCCTGCAAGGATTGATCAGCACATGAAGGTCTCCTTGACTTCAAAGGCATTTCTGGACTTGGATCAGCCTGATTGAGTTCAGAGGAGAAGGAAACACTAGCCCCTGATGTTTATTGCTGTAGGCTCTTTCATCTAATAGTAATTCTCTGCTTTAGAAGAAGCAACAGGCAGAGAAGTCTTGTGACTTATAATTTCACGATTAATGTTTACTTGCAAAGTGCCTCACACAGAAAATAGTGCTTTTATTTTAGTTTCCTGCTACTACTCCAACTGTGAAAGGTCAGGGAACCAGTAGGAAGCAAAATGAAAGCATATATAGAGGGTTTTTTTTTTCCTTCTTTGCAGCAATGCTGACTTGCAAAATAGTGTCACTTTCATAATCCCAAAGGTGTCGTGGATAATCTTCAGGAATCCTTATTTAGAGCACTGGTCACACTGAATTTTTTTATTTAGGTGAATTTCTGGCCATTGATGAAACTGAGATAATGATATTTAATTTTGTCCCATTAATTTATTTTCCTTAGAAGATTAGATGAGAGACTTGCAGACTTGCACCTACCAAATCTCTCTTATGTCCCCCTGTTTCTAAATAAACCTTCTACCCTTTCCTCTTGCCTCTATTTTGGGGGAAAAAAAAGGAAGACTAAACTTGGCTCAAGGAAAATGGCTATCTACAGCAGAAGAGCAGCTGTGAATGAGAATCGCCAATTGAAAACTTATGTGCAGAATCCATCATTAGTTGTGGATTCACATGAATAAAAATGTCACTAAAATATAAAACAAAATCTAAAATATGCTATTAAGGATCAAAACCTCGCTTTTGGTTTTAGTTCTTTTTTATTTATTTTTTTTGAATGCTATTATTTCATGTCCCTGTTTTGGTAAATATAGTTTAGTTGAACTGATTCTAATACTTCCTTGATGATTTTATAAACTTAAGTTACAGAGTCAACTCTGTAGAGGCGATATATTAATTGCTCTCTTAATATTCTTATTAACCGCCTGAAGCAGATACTATTATTTTCATGATACCCATCTTGCAGATGAGGAAAATGAGACCCAGAGTTTCAGTAACTTGTAAAGCTACAGAACTAGTAGGAAGTGGAACTGGACTTTGAGTTCAGAGGTCACACTCAACAGGCGGGCCTCAGAGCTTTGATGCCAAATAGTAATTAATAAATCGGGAACTATGTAGGGATGCAGAGAGGAATTTTGTGGTTCCTTAAATCACATATCCAGTAGCTTGATGGATTCAACTTGCATGACTTAGATGGCAAAGGTACTCAGAAGTTCTAGCATACAGAAATGTTGGGTGAAGATGAAATCTGATATAGAAGATCTGCTTTAGGCCATGTGCGGTGACTCACGCCTGTAATCCCAGCACTTTGGGAGGCCGAGGCAGGCAGATCACGAGGTCAGGAGATGGAGACCATACTGGCTAACATGGTGAAACCCTCTCTCTACTAAAAATACAAAAAATTAGCTGGGCATGGTGGTGGGCGCCTGTAGTCCCAGACTCGGGAGGCCGAGGCAGGAGAATGGCATGAACCCGGGAGGCGGAGCTTGCAGTGACCTTAGATCATGCCACCACACTCCAGCCTGGGCGAGACATGTCTAAGAAAAAAAAAAAAAAAACTGCTTTAAATATCATAGACAGGGCTGGCCTTGGTGGTTCATGCATGTCATCTCAGACTTTGGGAGGCCAAGGTGAGAGGATCAATTCAGGTTCAGAGTTCAAGACCAGCCTGGGTAACATAGTAAGACCTCATCTCTACAAAAAGTGAAAAACCAAATTAGCTGGGTGTGGTGGCACGTGCCTGTCGTCCCAGATCTCAGGAGGCTGAGGTGGGAGGATTGCTTGAGCCTGAGAGGTCAAGGCTGCAGTGACCTGTGTTCACGGCACTGCACTCCAGCAAGAATGACAGAGAGAGACCTTGTCTCAAGAAAACTCCAAAAACAATAAATAAATAAATAAAGTAGATAGAAAAAAAGGGAAATTCTTTTCCAATTTACCTGCTTTGTAGGCTTAACATATGTTCCTGTACATATGTAGTATTTGTGTCAAAAAGCATTTTGAAAATGAGTATCTTGCCGCTGGAACCCATATGGAATGAAGAAAATAGCAACTGCATTCTTTGAGCAGGGAGAGTTCACAGCCTAATGGGGACACAGTCATCCATGCAGGCTAGTTGTTACAATGTAGTGTGCTAAATGGCAGAATATCATAGTGATTAAGAGTGCAGGGTCTGGAATTCAGCCTGCTTGGGTTTGAAATGTGGTTCATACATTTACAAGTTGAGTGAACTTTGGACAAATTGCATCTTACTGCCTCCATTTCTTCATAATTTTTATGAAGTTATTAACAATATTTACTGTTTACCTTATAAATTAGTTATGACTGTTGATTAGATTAATCCAGGCTATGTGTGACCAGCATAAGAAGAATTCAATAAATGTCAGCAATTATTAATTTTTTTATTGTTATTTCTATATTTAACATATGACCAGAGTGTAGTAGTTGCTGACTTAGATGCTCATGGGCCAAAATAAACCCAATGTCATTGTCAAAAGGTGAAATGCCTATGGAAAAGATAACCCTCATCCTTCAATATTTTCTATATGCTGTTGTGTGAAACTCAGCAAAATTCAGCAGATACAAGTTCTCAAGTTTCTGGTCTGCTATAATTCAAATATAATTCAAATCTTGTAGCTCTGTGAGCTGTAATTTTTTCAGGCATAGACAAGTGAGAGGAAACTGTGGAAACCAAAATCAAATCTCTGTCACAAACCGATGATGAAAGTTTCCAAAAAGGTCAAAGAATAATTTTTGAAAATCACTTTATCCACAGTCATAAGGGTATATACAAGTTCCTCCAACTATTAGTAGCATAAGAATCGTGAAACCTGAGAATTATAAATTGTCATATTATCATGAAAAGATAATACTGATTATGATAACCAATTCACAAATAGGTAGTTGTTATTCTTTGCAAATATTTAATGTGTCTATTATCTTTGATGAGGATTTTATTTCAAAAGTTTTTCATTAAATAGCAAATGTGCTGTGTTTATTAAGTGATATGATTTTAGTGTATGAACAGAAACAAAAACGCTTGCTTAATTGAACTGGATAACATTTAATATCTGAAAAGTCAGTGGCTTTCATTGGAAATAGTTAACTAAGAGTATTTTGGAGAAGATAAAATGAGCAACCATTGAGAATGTTCAGTTTTGCTTGTTTGAAACTACTTTTTGAAAGAAATATATTGATTAATAATTGTGACTGGAATATGTTGCTCTCAGAAATGGCTCTCTGGTCTTGGGATACATAGTATCATGTGTGAAAATATGAGAAAGTTATATTTTAACTTCATATCACAGTTTAGCAACTGAGCATCAGAAAAGAAACAAAATCAACTTCAGATTTTCATTAGATGACAAGCGTCAATAATTTTTACAGATTTTATGAAAGGGCTGGCTACTCAATTTTTATGGATGCTAATACCACCACAATAATCTATCTTATGCTGCTTTTTTTTATGGAAGTTCAAATGAAGAGTTAAAATTATGGTGATTCAAAATGAATGTCTTAGCCTATATGGTTCGAAGTTAGGGGAAAAATTGACATTTCCAATTTTAAGAGATTGGAGCTCTGAGATCAGGTACAGCTCAGTCTGTTTTCTAATTGCTACTGCTCAATTGTGTCAGTGAAAATTCTATCTCAGTAGGAGCTGAGGGGGATCCAGGTCTCTAATCTTTCTTTTCTGTGTGTCTAGCTGTTACAGGCGGGTCAGCGTGGGTTTTTTTCTCCCCTATGTGTCAGACTTATGAAAGAAGCAGACGTTTGGTATGTGCATTCCAGAAAGATCAGAAACTGGCTGCCTCCCGATAATACATTTCGAGTGGGTACAGTATTCTAACATTCTGCTGGTTGACTTTTAGAAAACCCTGCGTACTTATTACATAAAAATGTATGCCACTTTTTCAACCCCAAATTGAAACCTGATTGTTAAAGTTACGTAATTGATAAAAATTACATGTTAAGAAAGACACTGGTAATATTAAGGATACAATCAAATTTATCACGTGGGCCTTTTAAATAAAAATCCTTTGATGAACAGTCACATAAATGCCTTGCTATTTAGATTGAGAAGTTTGTGAAAATGTTTATGAGGCTTACTTCCAATTAGTCCTACTTTAAGAGTGATTGTATTCAAATTAATACCTAGGAGAATGCAAACACAGAACCTTTTTATCTTTCAATAGCCCACTTTAATACTAGGAAGAAATGCAATATGTATCTTGCACTACTGCTTAGTAACTGTGTGCTCTTGTCATTTGAGATTAACATTTGGATTAAAGAGCATGATTAGAAGATTCTAAATTAGTAGTTACCAAGTTGAAATGACACAAAAGTTAAAACAAAGTAATACAACAGTCTATTTCATGCACTTTATTTCTTATACCAGTTAATTAGCACTTTAATTAGCATGATGTTTCATGTTGTGACCTAAGCCATTGTATTCCCAAAGGGTTTAGTGAAGACAATTAAAAAAGAAAGAAAGAAAGAAAGAAAAAGCTGCAGAATTGTTGATGGCTGTGTCACATACCTGCAGAATTAAATATAATTCTTCACTTTAAAACATGAGAATACACATATACTTTGTTCCTGAATTCAGAACAGATTTTTTAAAAAGGCATTTTGATGGTATGAAAGACTTCCACAAACTCGAAGCATATTAAATAACTATGTGTGCAATAGCGTTAAAGGAACTATATATTTAATTCCAAATGACCACAAATCAATGTCCAAAGGATTCACTTAGATAAAGAAGTACCTTTCACCATTTTGGGAACAAACATAAAAGATAGGTATAACGGTAATCATGTTTTTGAATAATAATGTGATGCATAGGAGTCTATCAAGGCCATTGAAATTACTTACAAAGGACAGCATTCTGGAGAGTCACAATGGAACTCTGCCTTTGGACAGACCTGAGGAAAAGAAATAGGCAGCTTATAAGTCATTTGTTGCTTGCGGGACATAAAAAGGTTCTCTCATCTCTCCCCTCCTCCCCTCCCCAGTGAGAACATGTTCAGGTTGTGTGTGCTTGTCTTTTTATGTGAGATAGAAGTTTCTGCAGAGCCAAAGACAGTCATCTGTCGGAAGTTTGGTTCTGCCATTTTGCAACAGCATGAAAAATGGCCACAACAGTTGTGAATATTGGACTATAAAACACAGCAAACCTCCTGAAGGTGTTTTTCTCTTGATTTTCTGCTGCTTACTATTCAAAACATGCAAAAAATAAAACAATTTAAAGATCTAATATCCAAAGATTCTGTCAAGCTTGCTTTGTTAATCACTGGAAGCTGTTGGCTTCCTGTTTTAGGACTGTATAATTAAACTATTAGTTTCCTTTGAATTTGTATAATACAGTAGGTCCACAGAGGACTCTTATTTTCACTCTTAAAAACTGTTCCCTAACCTCTTTTGGCAGTTAATGTACAGATATCATTTGGAATTTCTTTAGAATTGTCACATAATTCACAGATAATTCATTGCACACAGAACAGTGTATTTATGGAAATCTAAATTCATTGTTATGCAAAACCTTATAAGAAGAGAGAACTTTAAATTTAAATTTTTTTTCCTTGTCTTTTTTTTGTTGAACACATAAATTCAGATGGCTCACATTTTGTTTAGTAGGGATTTTTGGCAAATGACATACAAAGTATTTAAAAATTATGTTTTTAATTTTTAATACAATCGATTGAAAGTTCTATTTTGTAAAATAAGAATAAATTTGAACTTGTGATAAAAAAATTACCCAGTAGATATTTTTGTTGAGACAAACACAAAGATGTGTGATACCTACATTTCTTTGTAGTTTGATGGCACGGGTATCATTGGACAATCAGAAAGTTGCAGTTTTATTTTTGGTCTGATAGTTAAGTGATAATGATCTGAGAGTGATCTTTCAATTTAAACACACTTATTGAGTATTTAAATTACTATATTTCCTCCCTCTTGGATTTTCTATGAAAATATGTAATTTAAACCTATATATGATTTATAAATTAAAAGGCGAATTATTTAGATCACCGATATGGATCAGTCTTTGAGACTTTGAAGAAGTTACTTAATCTTCCCTGTGTTTATTTATTTGTTTGTGTATATGTTGAGATGGAGGTCTCACTATGTTGCCCAGGCTGGACTCCAACTCCTGGACTCAAGCAATATTCCTGCCTCAGCCTCTGGAGTAGCTGGAATTACAGTTAAATCCCACCTTACCCAGGTCTCTCATGTGTTTAAATGAATATAATAGCACACTCTCATGGCATTATTTGGAAATGTGGGTAAGTGAACATTTTACATATGACATGCATAATATAATATATAGCACAGCACTGCCTGGCATACAGTCAGAAACTGTAAGTAACAGCTGTTGTTAAAGAAGGCTTGGAAATCTGACACAGGTCACAAAGCTACTCACTTATTGGTTGAACTAAGATTCTAGAAGTGGTTTCAATGCAAAGAGAACATTGCCTGGCATCCAGTAAGTGCATCTAGGTGCTATCCGCTATTAAAAACAAACACATATTTTCCGAAGGTCTTACACCAGTCACTAACTAGGCTGGGATGAGAATTGCAAGTGTGTCTGACTTTAAACCCCAATTTCCCTAAATGTTTGCAGGCATCTAAGCTTGTTATTAGAGCTATTTGTTGGTATATATTTCACAACCTTGATAAATACACTTGCTGTTTACCAAGACTTTTGAAAAGGTATGTTTTTGAATTGTTTAGAGTATACAAACCTGCCCATAAACATGGTAATATTTGTAAACGGGAGCATAATAAAAATGATTAATGATCAAAGCACACACTGAGTTGGGATTGTGAGAATAAGAGTTTCTATATTGTCTTTTAATATAGAAACTATTTATTAAAACAAACACTGAAAAAATATGTGACAAGTTTATTTATTTTCTAGTAGACTTCAGCAGAGTAATTAGGTAAGTTCCTGTTCTCGCCTCCATTTTTATTTTTTTGAATATTTGGAATTATATTAATAAAAGGTGTCAGGTTGTTGTGTCTATGAGAAATCCCTTGAAAACCTTAACACTCTTTTCTCAGCTGTTGCTGCATCATTATTCTGGTCATTCAATTTTGTTTAACTGTGAGGTGTAGGAATGCTTTATTTCAGTTTTCTTCCAATATTTTACTGCAGTTTTTCTTATTAACTGGTTTTCAAAGATATATTACAATTGGGTCTTTAGATTGACTACTTCTCAGTAGGAGGCCTAACGGCCTTCCCCAGTAGTCACCGTTATTTACTGTTTAGTCTGAATTTGAAATTGGTAAGCCCTGATTACTGTTATTAGCAGCCGTTCCACTTATTGTGCCATCTAGTAATATTGTATCATGGAAATAGGTGTTCTTTAAAAAAGCAAGAGTTCTCTCTTTCTATGTACTGCTGTGATAACTGATCAAAACTATGAAATACAACAGAGATCATGGTTAGGCTTGAAGAGCTTAGTTGATCTGATATTACAGTTTGTGGACACATTATATGTACTGGATTCAGATATTACATAGAAGGCTAAAGTATTCCATACACTGCTGCCTCAGCTTCTTGCAAGGACAGAACAATTTACTTCTTGTTTGAGTGTGCTCAGATATATCCAGTGCCAGTTTGCTTTTAATACATACATTTTAAATTTCTTGATTTAGAATCATGTTCCTCTAGTTCTAAACTCCCTCTCCCACTTTACTTTCTGTTCTTCTTCTTCTGGAACTCCATTCTCCAAGTAAATCTGGTAACTTTCAAAGGCCTTTACCTGCTTTACACTTCCCTGCCAGGTTATCCTAATCCATACTGTTATCTCTTCTGCAATTCTCTTTCTAATGTTACATGAGTAAATCCTACCTGCCATTTTCTTTTACTGAGCTTTTTCTAATTATTAAGTTGTTAGTGCTTTTTTGTTCTTTTTTTCTTTCTTTTTTTGAGATGGAGTCTCACTCTGTAGCCCAAGCTGGAGTGTAGTGGTGCGATCTCGCCTCACTGGCTCACTCCAAGCTCTGTCTCTCCGGTTCACGCCATTCTCCTGCCTTGGCCTCCCGAGTAGCTGGGACTACAAGCGCCTGCCACCACGCCTGGCTAATTTTTATATTTTTAGTAGAAATGAGGTTTCACCATGTTGCCCAGGATGGTCTCGATCTCCTGACCTCATGAACTGCCCGCCTCGGCCTCCCAAAGTGCTGGGATTACAGGCTTCAGCCACCGTGCCCAGCCCACTTCCTACTTTTAATAATGGAATACTGTGTGCATGCTAGTGTATATGTGTGTGTATTTCTTTATCACACCATAATGTCTTCACTGGGAAGATCCTGGTGTAATTCATATTTGCCTATCCTTCTTTCCCAGTTCTTTGCAGAGTGCCTTGCTTATAGTAGATTACCAGATTGCTTACTAAACAATGGTTGAATTCATTTGATGCTATAAATTGGAAAATTATGCATTTTCTGGGGCATGCAATAAATATTTACAGAGCTCCTACAATAGATTAGATGTTGTGTTTATCACATTCTTAAGAAAATATTAAATGCTGGATCTTACAGTTGAGTTAACATACACATGTTTATATACATATATGTCACAAATCACTTGAATCTATAACAAATCATGTGAACTTTGTTAGAGCTTCGTGTTCTTTTGTGTTACTCAGGATCTACTATATTGCTGGAATTCAGTTGTTACCAAGATAAATGTGTTACCCATATGTGATAAATATACAGTGCCAAGAGTCCAGGCTGTAGTGGACTACAAGTTGGTGTCCAGGCAGCATCGTATAAAATGAGGCTGGAAAATGGATCAACATATCGTATAAAATGAGAGCGGAAAATGGATGAACATACTTAAGACATTGTGTTTAAGTTGAAGGAGATTCAATGTGAACTTGGGAGAAACGGGAGTCAGACAACACAGGTCTTTAAAGACACGGGAGTGGATGCCTTGATTTGTTAGAAGAGTAACATTCATGATGGCACAGAGGAAGCACTATAGAGAGAAGAAGCAAATAACCCTAAATATATTTGGGTTGTGTGCTTACTTGAGACATGTTTTCATTAGACTTAGAACCCTTGTGGCATTCATGGCCATAATTTATGTAAGATAGGATGTAATAGAGACAATCGCATTTGGTCATTTCTAAGCACCAGTATGATGTTTGGTACATGAGATTTACCCCTTTAAGTCAAGGAATAAGTATAATTAACAACGAAAGAGAAACATATTAATGCATGGTTTCGAAAATCTGTAGGCACAAAGCCATTCTGTGAACAGAGTTCAATAAAACTTAAACTATTTGTGTGTGATAATATGGCATAACTATAACATAATTTTTTTAAAAAATTACTTTGTTGAATACTAACAGTTACAAGAGACTTTCCTTGGTGTTAAACTAGGTTCTCAATGAAGTCATGCCCAGGAGGCTATCTTGATGTTGAAGGCTAAAGAACCATCACTAACGAATCCATGGCTTCTCATTTCTACCTCTATCCTTCTCTGAACTAACCGCTCAAGCTATAAACTGATTTTTATTTCAGGCTATATATTTTTTTTTAAATTTGCAGCATATTACTAATTTTTAAAAATAATTTGTTTGCTTTTGTGCTTCCTAGTTTAAAAGAAGAATTTATGCTGCAAATAGTGTGAATATGAGTTACACAGTTCTGTAGTTTATAGGACTCACTGTTTTCTTTTGAAAAATATATGAAACAATTCATATGATTTCATTTATGGTAAGACAGTTCTGGCTGTTTTGTGACAGTGAAATTTTAAGGATCATCAATATCGGAGACATAGTCTGTAGAGTTACTTTTTTTTCTCCTTTCTTTTTTCACCTTTAATTCTAATTAAAAGATACTCTACTAGACTAGATGCTTCTGCCTGGATGTTTTCTGTCTGATCTTTGACTTACAATCAAGGAAAT